TCAGAATTAAACCACCCCGGCAGTTTATTATTTCTGACTCTACGTTTTATTAAAGGTGCATGCCTATCCAAAATTTTCATAAAGTGAGAGTACCAACAGTCTAATAGATCGTTTGGATCATCAAAGATTTCATAAAGGCTTAACGGGATTTCTTCAACAAGGTCATTGTCAAAATCACTGGCAATAAAATCTTTCTTCCTGCGATAACTAATCGTTGTATGTAAACCTTGTTTAATTGAGATCCTGGAATTAATTTTTCTAGAGATAAAAATTGGCAAATGGTCACTCATCCCAATATCTAGCACGCCTGATTTAATAACATTATCTTCCTTAGAGGTAAAGATAAGGTCAATTGTTTTACCTGATATTGGCCTGGTAACTGCATCAATAAGTTGTTTAAGCTGATACTGAGATGTTAGAACATGAAGTTGTTGATAAGAATGTTTATCTTGAAAATTTGTGTTTAAGTCCCCTAACATAATTATCTCTTTGTGTTCATTGTCAGCCATGTCTAATACATAGTTTAAGTTATCTCTCCAGAGAGTATTATTTCCCGGTTGATACATAATGGCCATCAGGAAGGGTTTTGAATTTGGATGCTTAAATTCCAACCAAATAAATTCAAGCGGATAATTATTTTCTTGTAACGAGAAATCATTGCGATATTGAAAATTAATTGTTTCTGGGATATAAATCAGAATACCTCCACCTGAGGCATAAGTTCGGTCCTTCGTAATGAAGTTGAACTCTCTAATTTGCAATTCGTCATCAGACCAGTTAGAATTTAAATGAGTTTCAGAGAAACAAAATTAATATAATGTTGCTTTTCTTCCTATGCCTTATGGATTCAGAAATCATAAGCTTAACTTGGTCCAATTTATTTGTGATAGCCTGAATATTTAAATGGAAGAAAGTCAGACCCTTTGTTGGAATTAGACTAAAAGGGTTGTCGGTTAAATTAATATTTGCCATGGGTTGGTTGGAATTCAGGTCATCTAAGATATCTAATTTAGAATTGCTAAAGATGCTGAATACAGTTAATTAAGTTTCTTGCCATGATACCACTACCTGACCTATTAAGGTGCAGGCCAAATCTGTCTAGGCCTCTTTCATCGATATTTTCGTGGCTTATTATACCCAAGTTTCTTGCTTCACAGAGACCCTTTAGTAGGTTATTCAGTTGGGCGACCTTTTCGTTAATGCCAGGGCTATCAGTTCTAGTTATTATTTGTGAAAGTGTGATGTCGATCTTGGGATCGAAGTTATAGATCTCATCACAGAGCTTGGATATGTTTTCAGTTAGCGTTTTCACCTCACTTGATTTCAAATCGTTGGTCCCAACGTGGATAATAATATGGGCAGGTTGTAAACGCAAGGATGGTTTAATGTAATCTACCATATCCTTAACCGTTGCCCCAGGAAAAGTACGGATAATTACATTTTTACTGGTTGACCTTCTTATGTTCCTCGTATTGATTCCTCTTGTCAAAGAGTCTCCTAGGATAATTGTGAGATCTTCTTCAGCATGCTTTTTAGGATGGTGGTGGGGTTGTTTGGGTAGTGAAGTGTCATTGTAAGGCCCCTGTTGATGATCTTGTTTCTGCTGAGGTGGCTGTTGCTGATCATGGTGTGGCTGATGTGATTGTTGCTGCAGCTGATGCGTATCGTTGTTGTTGCTAATGTATTGCTGTTCGGCCTGTTCCCGCTGGGGTCTGGGTTGATGATCAAACGTATTACTATATGCATGGTTCCTCTCATTGATTTCTTGATTAATTTGAGGCTGGACAGAGGGGCCTACATATTGGCTTTGTGGGGGATGATGGGTGTTGTCATGTAAGTGAGCCACCAGATGTTGTCGCTGATATATATGTTGCGGTAGCAGTTGATGTTTCTGTTGTGGTTTTGGCTGGTATGATTGTTGCTGTGACTGATGTGTCTCGTTATAGGAATTTTGGTGATGACGTTGTTGTTGTTCCGTCTGATATATGAGTCGTTGGTCAAGCGTGTTATCATATGCATAGTTCCACTCGGAACTATAACTCGGAACTTCCGTTGCCGGAAGCCAGGAATCCTGGCTAAGACCGAACTGTGCATTCCATATCAACGGCCAATCAGATTCCTCCCTGAAACGGATTATCCCAGAGCCTCGCGTTCCTTCCCGAGGATCGCAGGCTCGGGGAACGAGATTGCGGAATGGCTAATCATGGATGAACTTTAGACTTCGCTAATGCTTTCGTTTCCCCTGGAGTAAATAGCCCGGGGGAATTAGTAGCCTCGCTCCGGGCTTACGCCCGGATCGGCGCTCTACGCCGTTGGCTCGGGGACAATTACTTTATGGTTTCCGTTCGGCTCGTGTTTCGCACGCTTAGTCGTAACTTTCTAACATTCCTGCGTGTTTGGATCAGGCCATCCAAACACGGAATTCGACCCCGTAAAGTAATTGTATAATACAATTTATTATGCGAATAACTAATGATATAGTAATGCATTTCATATCGTTCCAGAACAGTGTTCCAAATGTTCTAGAACAGTGAATGGAGCAGCCTGTTGGACACGAAATTTAGAGTTATATGAAGGTTGCATACCATATATGACATGCAACAAAAACGAAACCGGTAACCATAATTGCCAAGTATATTAGACCCATCTCACTAATTCCGGCCCTATCAAAGTTAGCTGAGGACTTTGTTGTAAGGAATTATGTTGGCGGTGCAGTTCTTGAGATCATTAGTCACATCGAATTCGGTGCCATCCCAGAGTCATCTACTACGCAGGCTCTCATTTCCATGATGCATACGTGGACTTCTGCCACTGATGGAGCAGGTGCAAAAGTAAGAATCCTGTTACTAGATTATAGGAAAGCTTTCCATCTGTTCGACCACAGTATTCTAGTTGACAAGATTCTTTCCCTTCAACTTCCAAGTGGTTTCGCTCCCTGGGTGTCTGACTTCTTTTCCAACAGGTTCTAACGTGTAAAACTATCCCACGATTGCTTCTCGGACTATGGTGCAGTCCCATCTGGTGCTCCCCAGGGTACGAAACTAGCGCCCCCGGTTGTTCCTCCTATCCGATAAAACCGTTCTAAAACAGAGTTTAATGTCCATGGCACATTCGTCAGTCACTATGATGCAGAATGCAATTTTAGTACCAGCTATTAATATTGTACCAAAATTTACTATAGAAGTTATAAACGTTTTCATTACTTACATGCTTGTTAAAAAATGTATAAATTTAAATTTGACAGCCTCATAGCCTTTTAATTCCAGGTTTCTACTATGAACATGCTGAATACTTTCTTTTGAATTAAGCTATTAGGGCAAAAACATGAACATAGCATATAGTGCAGAAAACGAAAAATATTGTGTTCTTATGTTCTTATGTTCTTCACCAGAAATGCTTGTTGCAAAATAGCCCATGCATGATCAAGATAAATGTGGTCTATTCTGCTTTAAAACTTTCCCTCGTGAGGATGGACATATCAAACTGCGTGACGGAAACACAATCCTTGCTCGGTTCTGCGCTGCGTTCTATACGTTGTTCACGAATGGGGTAGAAGACGTCATTCTTGTCGTGATAAAAATTATTGAAAAATCGGAAAGCGAGGAAAGCTAGAAAATAAATGGTCAATACAACCTAAAACAGTGGTTGCTTTTGTAAAATTCGAGGTTGATGGAGATCAAGATTGAATATATATGAAGCAAGGTGCACCAATTGCTGCACGAGGTCTATACATGCCGAAGATTTCTTTGAGCGTGATATACGGAGACGCTAACATACGTCATAAGATAAGAAATGTGATAAGAAAACACAAAGGTGCGGATATATATCAGTATATATATATATATATATATATATATATACTGAAATACTACAGGGACGCTAACATACGTCTGCCCATCAAAGCAACTCATGCATACCATGTATTAGATAATACACCAAATACTCGCAATCAAAATGATCTAAGAGAAAACGCTGAAGAAGAAGTAAAAGAACTAAAAATAGTGGTCTAGATGTCAGTGATACAGTATGACACGGGGTGATTGGAAATATCCGCTTTTTCTTTAGGCAGTGCCGATTTCCTGTAGGAAATTGTGCACCGCAAGGCACTTCTTTAGATAAAAATGTTAATCTCATTCTCGCGAAACTACGTCCAGGAAATAACGAATCTACCTGGAAAACACAAAATCTAAATCACTTTTTAAAACACGTTCGCAACTTCCAAAATCCAGACTATTATACGGAAGCCGAGAAGGGACTTCAGACTTCAGACTTGCATGAGACTTCAGACATCAAAAACATTGGTTCCGAGCTTCGCTAATAGCCAACATTGCCTGCGAAGCTGGCTAATATTTAAGGCACTTATTAAGTCAAAGCTATTCAAACTAAAGTCAAAAATGGTCAGAATGATTTAGATTGTAAACGCAGACTGCTGGAATGTGTCAGTGAGTTCTTTGTAGGTTTAAACGCTGAACGATAAAAATATAATACTGTTCAGTGTTTGTGGAAACATCACGTAAATTTATTACTGCAGTAAATTCATTAACTTTATGTTGTAAATTTATCAAGTTAAATATAAGACGCGCTCAAAACAAATGCGTATAATATACCACTTGAGGTTATGACTATCGATACGTCTCTCAATCGGCAAATAAACTTAAAAAGTATGTTTAGACAAGTGCTTTATCTGTAAAATAATGCTAAATTGAAGAGATTTTAGATGATACGCCAAAGAGAAAATCATATGTCTGAAGTTCAGTAAGTTTTGCTTATATTGCTTAAATATAGCGTCAATTTTAAAGCATCATTGATAATTGTATTTTTATTGACAATTTTTAACTATGATTATATGTTTCTCAACCGGCAGATGCATTTAAAAATGTAGCTAACTGTATAAACTAAAGAATAGAGCAAAAACAAAGTGATTCTAAGAGGAGGAACGCAAAAGCAATGTTGGCTATTAGCGAAGCTCGGAACCAATGTTTGAAGTCTGAAGTCTGAAGCATAGAATAAGAAATTATTAGAAGGGCAACTCGCGTGTACAACGTGTAACCAATTTCAGTGCGCACGCGCGGGATCTCTCAAGATCGCAGCCAGTAAAGCCAGTCAGTGCACAGGCGGCCCAGTCTCAGAATGAATGATCAGGTGTTGCGGGTTTTTAACGGTTTTTATAAACAAATTTATAGTCAATCAATACTATTAATATTTTAAAAACATAAGAAAATTAATCAAATAAATACATTTTAACAATAAAATATAGTTGACATGATAGTATAATATCTTTGCATTCTTTTAATTACTCCATGAGCTCATTTAGAGCGGTTGATGTAACATTTTCTGTGGCCTACATTGTGTGTGCTCATCTATATGTAATATAACAGTCAAAGGCTAATCACTGGCGGCACGACCGCATCGCATTCAAAGTCAAATATCTCCGCTCAAATTTGTCGTACGCCAAAATAAATTCGATTACATCTTTTCACAAAGATTTCTCTTTCTAAATAATATGGTTTGATCATAGTTTGGGCAAATTTAGCGACAAACGAAACCAAAATCTCCTCAATTTCGGATACTGTTCAAAATACTTAGGGCTGCTCGGGTACGATCGTGGACGTGACGTAATCAATACACTAGGCGGAATTTTGCGCGTGGAGCGACATTTTCCGCCAAAACATTTTTCGAGCATGCGCAAAAGCAAAATATTCATGCGCTGCTATTGCGCTTTTGTGCACTATTTGTGCAGCCGGAAAGTTGAAAGCAGTTCAACTTTTTCAGTTTCCGCGCAAACGATGAATAGAAACAATCAATCACAACGCTAGAAATATTACCTCAACAATCAAGATGGCCTCCCAGTTGAATCTTTCAGGAGTTCCAGGTATCAGTTTTTCTTGTGATATTATAAACGAACAAATAGCTGACAATCAATTTGAAATTGACGAAGATTTGGCAGAAGAGAGTCAAGAGACCTTTGTCCTGGAAAATGTTGCAAATGCAGCCCCTGATGAGGACAATCTTGTTGAGTTTGAACCTGGCATATTCATCGAGGAAATAAGACAATTGCCTTGTCTATGGAATACCTCCCTTGCAGTATACAAAGATATAAACGTCAAAGCGAATGCTTGGAATAGACTTTCGGTCATGTTCGGTAAAGAAGGTGAGTGTCTTAATTAATTTATATAAGCTTTGAGCGAGGTCATTGAAACCATTTCTGCATATTTTTAAGCCATATAAACCTGCATCTAGGAGACTTGCCATATTGGCCGAAGATGAATCGATTAAGAGTTTTAACAAGTGAAACTATAGTTTTAGTGATTTTAAACATTTCATGGTATAACATTGTAAATGGGAGACAAGTGTGAAGTGTGCTTTATGGTAGTTAGAAACCCTATCATGCCAAAACAGGCTTAAACAGCCTTTAACATGTTTATATTTTTATATGGTCATATTTTTATATGGTCATATTGGACATGGTCATATTAAAATACATGTCGATTTTTTTATATAGTTGAATTCCTAAAGACCCAGTTCAAGTATTTGAGGGATAATTTGAAAAGATGCTTGGACTTGGCTTGTCTAAGCCAGGGCAACAAAGTCGGGCGCTGCAGCATCCAAGGTTTCAATGTGCAAGTATTATAATGAACTTGCATTTCTTTGTGACAAGACAGCCAACAAGCCCACACAAAGCAATGTTAACATAATAATTATTACGGTCCCTGATGAAAGAGTGGATGTCCAATCATCCACTAGCAAACATACACAAGAGATCATAACCCAAGTTGGAACAAAAAGAAATTCTCAGGAGGTGGTTGATAATAGCCCCATCAACATGAAGTCTAGAAAATCTGCTAAGGAGAGAGTTGAGATTGGTTTTGCTGTTGATACCATGCTAGTGAAAACACTGAAGGACATGGAGAAACCAAACATTCCTGCAATAAGTGAAACAACAGATGCAGATACTCTATTTTGTAAGAGTCTTATTCCCACTTTGAACGGGCTTCCTGCCAAAAAAATAGACAAGCCTAACTTAAGATTCAGGAAGTGTTGTATGACCTAGAATTTGGGGAATCAGATTAGCTGTTGAAATGCATTTTGAGCTGTATTTGTAAAAGTTTGTTATATTTACAAAGTTATATTGTTACAAAGTTGAATCAGAAATGAAATTGTTACAATGCACCCTTTTGATAATTACGTCATTTGGCCTGGGAGCCTCTCTCTAATGAATCGTGGGCCAATCACCTTGCATAATTTACTAATGAGAGCTAGGCTCTAAGACCAAAAAGTATGTGTGACGTAATTATCGAAATGGTGTATTGAACCTGTTGTAATATTAACTGTTAAAATTAATATTGTATAAACATGTAATTTTATTACAAATATTACATTTATTTTGTACATGATTGGTGAATTATATGAGTATCTACATTATGAACAGATATTTTAATAGTAATTTTTATAATTTATATACATTAGTGTAATATAATTATATCTGTTTATAATAAATATTGTTCATTTAAAATTTAATTAATAATGCCAAAAACATATTATATAATACTTCTCATACTCTTTCATCAAAGGGGATAGTAACCCGGCGTACCATGTCCCATTGCCAACTAACTTCTCCTTCTGGGGAATTAAAATACTTCTTGAAGTTGTCACGAGTTGTTTTTGCATTTTTTGAGTAGTTGTTCGAACCAACCCTTGAAATTGGATATAGCGAGGTATTTGGGGATGTGTCATTTCTCCACTGACCAGCCTTAACACCATTTACACTTTCTTGATCAACATAGTTAAATGGACAATAACTATGGCTGTCGCCTGGTAATCTGTTCCGCATTAAGAAATTGTGTAGTCCAACTACAGCCTTTGTAATTTGTATAACAGTGTCAACTCTAGCAATGATTGGCTTTCTCAGAACTCGAAATCTTGAGGCTGCAATACCAAATGTATTTTCTATTATCCTTCTACCTCGAGAGAGTCGATAGTTGAAAATTCTTTGGTCTTCTGGTATATTTTGACCGGGGTAAGGTTTCATTAGGTAGGTTTTTAATCCAAATGCATCATCTGCCAGAAATACATAGGGAAATATCTCATCTGAATTTCCAATCTTCTCTGGGTTGGGAATATTTAAGAGGTTATTGTCAATAGCATAACCAAGATGGCTGTTTGTGTAAACACTCCCGTCACTTTGCCGTCCTGCATCACCAACATCCACAAGCAGAAACTCGTAGTCTGCATTACATACTGCCATCAAGACTATACTATGCGTTTTCTTGTAATTGAAAAAGTCTGACCCTCCACGAGCTGGGGCTTGCATGACAATATGTTTTCCATCTATAGCCCCAAGAGCATGAGGAAAATTCCACTTTTCTCCAAAAGTATTAGCTATGTTCTTCCAGTCTTCTGCACAATTAGGAACACTAAGAAAACCTTTCTCAGTTAGTGTGTCCCATATGACTTGGCAAGTTTCTTTTATAATACGACCAACAACAGAGGGACTTATTCGATAGCTTGCAGCTATGCTAACTTGAGCATCTCCAGAAACTAGGTACCTTAGTGTCACACAAAGTCTTTCACTAGCCCCTATTGGCTCACGCATTCTTGTTGCTTTTCGGATGATTAAGGGGCCAACCCAAGACAATTGCTTCTCATATGTGGTAGGGGTCATCCTGAAGCACTTGAAAAAGTACAAATGGTCGAATAACCTGAGGTCTTGCACGAGCAAATGAAATTCACCTTTTGAGGTCCTTTCTTGAAATATCTTCCGAACCCAAAAGTCTTTCTTGTATTTCTGCTGTCTTCTTTTAATTCTTCTTCTTAGCAGCAGAAGTATCAAAAGCTTTCGCATCAGAAATCGTTTGTTTACTGCCGCCATTTTGAAATTACCGCCGTTTTTCCGCCGGAAAAAATCCCCAGTGGAAATCACCGTTGATTTGCGAGCGGAAAATGTCGCTCCGTGCGCAAAATTCCGCCTAGTGGAAAACAGCCTTTACGGATGTCACTCCTATTGCGGATACAAAGCTCCAGCACATCTGGATCAAGGCATAATTTTGCAAAACGAGAAGTTAAGGTTATGCATTTCTTTTGCCTACAACATTTATTTTCAACCTCTTGTGGCATTGGTCTGCATTTGCCACATGTGCACCAATCTGGCACTGATTCAAGTGTGGGTTTGGGTGTTGGATTTGGGTCTTGTGATTGAGAAGGGCTCTGACTCTGAGAAGGGTCTATAGCAGAGTTCAGTGGATTGTCATTGGATGATTCACCAAATGCACCTAACCTTTCTGCATCCTGATCATCTTCATCAAGGTCATCCTCCATTATCAGTAGTGTGTCGATGTAGTCCATACTACCAATACCTCTGCGTAAACTACGAATAGCTAGCTTTTTCACCATATTTGCGTCTAGTGTAGATATCAGTTTCTAAAATAAATACAGTAGAACAAGATTGTTATCAATGCAAAACCCTGACAAGACATTGTATACTGTATAGGTTATGCTATTATATGTGTAATATTATATGAAATCAACAATTGTTATTTTTATATAATTAAATATTATTTTAAGGTGAAGTACATACCTTCACATTTTCGTGTTCTTTTTCTCTTTGCATGTCCTCCGACTCTGTAGTTGCGTGAGTAAGGCGAAAACTTTGTCTTGGATTTCCTGCTGTTTTGCGTTTTTGTCTTTCATCGGCCGTTCCCTATACCAAAATCAGACAATTTATTTATTATAATTCCTGGAATATAAACAAAGTGGTAAATTTTAGATTGCTTTACCTTATTTTGGCAAGGTTTTGCATGATGCGTGCCACAATGACATTCTGCCGAACACACTACATTTCTACCTTTACACGGACAACCTCGGGTTCCATTAGGCTTTCTTTTAGTGCTGCAAGAACTCTTACAATCACAACGATTTCCCTATGTAAACGGATATATCACTGTTCAACTAGATTCGTATTGCTTTACAAAAAAATATGTAAAATATGCATATTTTGACTTCATTATACAGCTTCGAAACAATGGCGGATTATGTCGTCCGAGCAATTTCCGAACCCGTTATTGTTATGTGCAGCAGGAGTGCGCACAATGTGACACTGCTCCTTTAAATATAACAGCTGGGAAATTTGTTGCGCATGCGCCAGATTTCCATTGAAACTTCAAACTTGAAGATTTCCCCTGAAGAAATAACGAGATTTCGTGGTTGTTGTATATTTTTGAATGCTTGTTTAATCTTTATAATTTTTTGCTTGAGACAAAGTAAAATGTACTCTACGTTTCCAGTGTATAGAGTATCTCGTTTGAACAGCAATAGAATATTAAAATCTTGACACAAACAAGAAGGCATTTGACACGCTAAATCTGCTTTATCTGCAGTCATGCCCGCCAATCGTCGCGAGCTTCACAGCCTTGTCAAACGCAAGACAAGTACAAATTTGGGTTCAAACAGAAAGAAGTTCAATGTTAATACCACTAACATATATTCTATACAAATACGGGTGGTTTAAAATGTTTTTAATTGAATTTTCAAACTGCTTTTATCTATCGACATGATAATCAAACTGTGAAAATGCCGGCTTTTGTTCAGGCTTGCGAATGCAAAATAACTTCCCGTAAACAGAGCATTTCTACACAAACCTCTCTCTTAGTCTTCTGATGCACTTGTATGTTCGGTTCTACTAGTTAAACAGGGAAAATATGCATGAAACACTGGTAAATTATCATTGTCAAAAAACATTTCGGGACTTTCAGTGCTGAGGCAGTACAAATTCTCAAGGGCAAGGTCAAGTTGTCGATTTCATTACATTTTACAGTACTTCGAATGTTCTCGAACTCTTGCTTCATACAAGAGCAGTAAACGCACGCATTTCAAAGCGAAATTAGATGCAAAGGGGCAATTTTTCAACAAAATTTGTTGTTAAATTCTGTTTCCTATGTGCGTTGGAAGCAAAAGAATATGATTTTGAATTTGGTGGAATCGGTAAATTTTTTGCAATTTGGCCTGGTATTGCCACCCTACCTATGTACTGACTGTGATGCAAAAGTAATCAAATATACTATTTTTAATTTCTCTTCATTGAAACGATCTACTATTGTGGACTAAACTAAATCTTAATCAGCATACAAGGCTGCAAACAACAGCCAAGTATTAGCTGGGTAGTTTGCAAACTTTAAAAATAATTGGACCTCAAACTTTGATCTCCAAAAGTAAACAAATAGCCAATACTGCGCACATAATCCAAGTTTTGATCACTAGGGGCAATTTTTCGATGTAAAAAAACTTGTTTAAATTACATATCAAACAAAGGCAAAACAAAATTTGGTATTAATTTTTTGGAGGAATTGTCAAGGTTTTTTGCTATCCGCCCACGCTTCTACACCCCTCCCCCAGGATCTTCTATCTCAAAAAACAGTTTTCTGCAGAAAGTATGCTTTTTTATCGGGAAAATTTTTACTTTTCTCAAAAAAATACTTTATAAACACGGAAACCTTAAATATTTAATAATTTTCATACCTTTTTGGGATTGCAAAAAGGAAAATTTGATTCATTATCCCACTTTTTAAAATTTATGTGACAAAGTTGCTTCGAAATAACCATTACGCAGTAGCATATTTATTTACCCTCATCCTTTTGACTGAATAAAGTTTATCTTTTTCAAAAGCTATTTGTTTTATAGCTCTTGGTTAGCAGTTTACGTTTATGTCGATTTTGGCACCCACTAGACCAACAAGTTGTGGTAATCCGCGAATGAAAATGGATATTCGAAGAGCACAAATGCCAACTCCTGGCTATGTAACTTTGTCGCCTGAATTTTGAATCCATCCACAATTAAAATGCTGATAATGTAGATGCTTTCCATACTTAAGATGTTAGTGAAGTTTTTCCTACAATTTAATTTCCTTGATTGCCCTCTTAAAACTGCAAAATCATCAGTTGAAATTTCACTTGTGTTGTTTTTTCAAATTTTTGAATTTTTGTAAAATATCGCGTGCGCCAGCAATTTCTCTGCACAGCGACAACAAATTTCCCAGCTGTTTTTAAATATGGAAATTTTCTTTTCGATATATACAGAAAATCAAAATCTGAGAATGGAAGCACTGCATCAAAATGACTGTAATCTCTTAGTGGAGTCTTCTTAACTCTGTTAGCTGAAATACCACTTATGCAAAAGACAGGTAGATGGTCCGGATATATCAATCAAGGCAATACCGGAGATTCTATTCTGTATAGTAGTGTTAGAACTTAGAATGGTCTGTTATTCTAGTTGGTTTGGTTATTAAAGGAATATAATTATTTAAGTAAAGCATATCTAAATATTCTTCTGTATTTGAATGTTCACTATATTTAAGAAAATCAATATTCATGTCACCCAGTATAATTACTTCATGTTTCTTTGTATTTAGCTGTTTAAAGTGTATATAAAATGAAAATTTTGAGGCTAAATTGCAGAATACCCGTCCACTAGTAATATTATATCAAGTAGCTACCAATTCACTGGATACGCGGATACGTGGTCCGACAGTTAAGCAAGGAAAATTGTCAGCGGAGAACATCAATAGATTAAATTCTCATGACGTGCAGTATATTATTTTGGTGGATGCGCGGCTACGCAGTGAGTTCAATTAAAAATGACGTAATGATAAGATAGATGTAGTATTTATTGGATACGCGGCTATGCAGTGAGTTCAATTAAAAATGACGTAATGATAAGATAGATGTAGTATTTATTGGATACGTGGCTACGAAGTTAGTTAAATTAAAAATGACGTAATGATAAGATAGATGTAGTATTTATTGGATACGCGGATACGTGGCAACGCAGTGAGTTAAATTGAAAATGACATAATGATAAGATAGATGTAGTATTTATTGGATACGCGGCTACGCAGTGAGTTAAATTGAAAATGACGTATAAACTACGACAATAATGCCACATCCTATTGCCTCGTTCTTTAAAAACGATGCGTATAAACTACGACAATAAATACCATATCTTATAATTGCCTCGTTCTTTGAAAAACCTCATTCCACTTATAAACACGATGCATATAAACTACGACAATGTATAAACTACGACAATAATACCACATCCTATTGCCTCGTTCTTTAAAAACGATGCGTATAAACTACGACAATAACTACCATATCTTATAATTGCCTCGTTCTTTAAAAACCTCATTCCACTTATAAACACAATGCATATAAACTATGACAATGTATAAACTACGACAATAATACCACATCCTATTGCCTCGTTCTTTAAAAACGATGCGTATAAAATACGACAATAACTACCATATCTTATAATTGCCTCGTTCTTTAAAAACCTCATTCCACTTATAAAACACGATGCATATATAAACTACGCGACAATGTATAAACTACGACAATAATACCACATCTTATTGCCTCATTCTTTAAAAACCTAATTCCAATATAAACACGAAAGATGCATATAAACTGCGACAATAATAAGATATCTTCTTATCAACTTATATACACGAACGATGTCCATGCATACAAACTTATAAACACGAACGATGTCCATGCATATAAACTTATAAACACGAACGATGCGTATAAACTACAACAATACTGAAATTTAACACCATGCACACAAATCTATATATTACTGTATTTGCTTTTTATATTTCAAAACCAATTTCAACTATATCACATATTTTAACAACACTTCAAAATTCACAATAAATTTTTTTAACATCCCAAAGAAACGTTGAAAACAAGTCTTTTCCCTTATGTTCGTAACGCCACAAAAACTCAGCTAAGTAAGAAGAAAACGCAATCTTTCGAACACCAAACGATGGCATTTTGCATTTGGCCTGCCTCCAGTGCCCTTCAATTTTGTTCGTATGATCTCCATCATTGTTAACAAACTCTTTGGAATGGTTCACTAAGCGATGTTCATACCCATGTTTTTCTAAGTTTATATACGCTTTCCAACAGTCTGATACTATGATTGAGCCTTTCGCAATATGCCTTTCAATTATCGGTAATAACGTGGACTCGTCTCTTTTTTCCACGGCTACCATAAAACTTCTTCTTGACTCCTCCTCGATTCCCCCCAAAGACCCACTGACCTTCCACACGATGTCCACGATGATACTTTCTCTTTCCAAATTTGCTTTCATCAATCTGCACAATCTTGCCAGGACCGCCAATTGGATGTTCGCGTTCCATAAGTGTAACTTCGCACGTTTCTCGACAAAAGCTATCCCAGTCAACTGCTGTATGAGTGGCAATATTCAACTCATGTCGTATTTCCTCTTGTCTCACATCACGGCACCACCAATAAGTAAACTTCAACACTTCTTCAAGGGTCATGTTGCTTTTTTCAAACCAGCTGCCTTTCCGAATTGATATCTCGACCTTGTGCCTCTTGCCATTCACGCTTTTACGGCATTCCCATTTGTACTTATCAGAGCGGTCCTCGCATTTAACAAGTTTCATTGGAAGGTCACAGTGACAGCAGAGTCTACTTTTTGCAATTAGTCCTTCATCCATACACCATTGTATGATTTCCTCTTTGCTTCTGAGAACTTCGTCTCTTAAAAGATCATACGTCCAGTGTTTCAACTTTTCCTCACGATTGTAACTGTCATGCTTTTCTCCCCCATACTGTGTACCCACGCTTTTCACTTCTAAAGATGAAATCACTGTTTGCGTTTCGGTGTTTTTCTTCCA